AGATGGAGCGGAGGGGTCAGCCAGGGCCAGTCGCGGCCTCCCATGGGAGAAACCCCAGCGGATGGGCCCGTGTGGGCGGTGGGAAGAGCCCTGCAGCCCACACCCTCTGGAGCTTGGCTTCCAGCAGCGAACACATGCGCCTGGGGGCCCAAGAGGGGGCCTTCACTTTATTAGCACATGATTGTTCGTGCTTCATGCCCACAGCATCGGCTCTCCCCAGCAGCTGCTCGACAGACACGGCTGGTTCTGGCACATGAACAAGAGGAGCAACCATGCAAGAGCCTGTGGGATGGGGCTCCGGGCCAGGAGCAGATTAGTCAGGAGGGACACAGGCCCTTCTCCCAAGTGGGAAGGGCTAGTGATCAGGACACTGGAGTAGACCTGGATTCTATTCCCAGCTCTGCCACAGACTCCACATCTGACCTTGGTCAAGTCACTTAGCCTCACCGTGCCTCAGTTTCCTCACCTGTAAAATGGTGACAGCAGCACTTCCCTGCCTCAAAGGTGGTCATAGATTTTTAAGGCCAGAATGGGCCACTATGTTCATCTAGTCTAGCCTCCTTCCTAACACAGAACAGAGAACCTTACCCAATAATTTATGTACTACCTACAATTACTAAAATACAGATTTCCCCTCTCCTGAGTTTCCAATGCAGCTTGACGTGATCATGACTCATCCGCTTCCTTGTTTATGCATCAGTATCCTCAAGGTCAGCACAACTCCGGGAAGAAGATTTGTTACCAGACTGCTGCCTTAAGGCCAGCAGGAAAAGATAGCTCTGGAATTTGTTGTTAGGGACATATTTGAAATCTAGTCAGTGTTAAAGAGAGTTCCAGGTACTGTCCCCGCTTCAGTGGCCCCGGAATCCCATTTTCCAGGATGTCTCTCTCTCTCATTAAACAAAGGAATAAAGACCCCACAAGCAAAAGCAGAAACTGACTACGGCCCATCCTGCAAACACTTATGCAAGTGCTTAGCTTTAAGCACATGTGAGAGTATTTGCAGGACCAGGGCCTCAAGGACTATATCCAGGGGAACACAGCGAAACTGGTTACGCACATCGCTGGCAAAACAGACCGACTCATTTCCTGTCCGCAACAGTAATCAGTTCACCGTGTCCTTCTGACATCTCAGCAAGGGAATAGTGCGGCTACATTTTCATTCTCACCAGATCAGAATGAATCTGGACAGAGCTTTGAAAACCATGTGAACCCACCCCGATGCACAGGTCAAGCTGGGCCCTGTGTGTGTACCATAGTTGCGTGTGTTCACACAACACTGGGCTTGTGTGTGTTCCTCAGTTGGGGTGCATGCTACTGAAGAATTTTTTGCCCTTTGTACATGCATAGAAGCTTTTATCTAAGGATCCGAGAGTGCTTTATAATACCACCCAGCCCTTTTCATCCACAGAGCTTAAGGCACTTGACAAAAGGAGGTCAGTATCATCACCTGTTTTATAGATGGGGAAACTGAGGCATAGGGAGGTAGCGTGACTTGCCTGTGGTGACCCAGCAGGCTGGTGACAGAGCACGGAACAGACCCCAGCCCCCTCCCCAAGACCCAATCCAGTGCACAACGCACTAAAGCCATACTGCTTGATTCAAGGCCCAGCTCGCTAAGGAAGCAGGCTCAGTTCTATTAGCCCCAATTTACAGATGAGTAAACTAAAGGCACAAACATCAAGTAATTTGTGCAAGGTTTAAAGGGAGGTGAAATTTGCGGGCGGGGTAAGACATGGAGCAGGGTTTAAATCTATGTCCCTTAATTTTTTTTAAACTGACTCACTGGGACACACAAATGCCTACATGCTACTGCCAGAGGATGAGATGCACTGACAGGGAGATACCAAGATATTCTGATTACGGGGGCCAGGGAAGCACCTAGACAGAAATACCCAGGCTGCTACCAGCCACCAGTGGTCACAAAATCGAAGTACCAAGTGGCAAAGCGGCTGAGGACAAATCCTCTTTGTGGAGTTTCTACTGAATTAACGTCCTGTCTGAAACGGTCGCATTAGCCCAGTGGCCACGCCCCACCCCAAAGGTGGCAGCCAGAAGCGATGGGATGAGGAGGAATATTCATGCTAATCTGCAGACAACTTCCCATGTGTTTCTCTGGGTGGGAACTTTGCACCGAGGATCACTACACCTGCAGTTCACTGGGTCTCCGGGAGCACCTCCCTTACTCATCTTGGGGAGCTGCTTAAATACAAGATGCCCATCGAAATGCTTCCCTAAACCGGACACATCCACGTGCTCTCCATCTGCACCCACAAACACTGAAGGCTGCATCCACCCCAACAGGGTCTGTCCCCCTCGAGGCTGCAGGGGAATTCCGAGGACATAAAGAACATAGAGACACCAAACTGGGTCAGACCAATGGTCCATTTAACCCAGTACCAGAGCGTCAGGGGAGCGTGTCCAGAACAGGACAGCTGGAGTGATCCACCCCAGTCTTCCCCTCCTGGCCATCAGAGGTTTAGGGCTGACCCGAGCACGGGGTTGTATCCCTGGCCATCTTGGCTAATAGCCATTGATGGCCCTAACCTCCATGAACTTAACCGGGTTCAAAAAAGAACTAGATATTTGGCCAGAACAACATCCCCTGGCAGTGAGTTCCACAGGTTGATTGTGCATTGCACTTCCTTCCATTTGTATTAAACCTGCTGCCTACTAATTCTATCAGGTGACTCCTGGGTTGTGTGTGTTATGTGAAGGGGTAAACAACACTTCTCCAAATCACTTTCTCTACACCAGTCATGATTTTATAGATCTCTCCCCTATCCCCTTTTTAAGCCGACTAATCCATTTCTGCTTCTCTTGCTCTGTTTCCAACCCTTGCCCTTACCAGGCAGTCCAGCTGCGCCACGGGCGTCTTGGTCCCAGGCTGCCCCACGTCCCACACCTTCACGCAGCCCTTGCCCCCTGTGTAGACGTGCCGGGTGGAGTTGCTGATGGTGACGGCACAGACCACCTCGCCGTGGGTCAGGGTGTGGAGCTGGCGGGCGTGTCGGGGGATGCCGGTGCCGATGAGGGCGTCGGGAGGGAAGGGGACCGGCTGCATCTGCCCGTCGGCGCTCACGTGGAAGGAGTAGGCGCTGGAGGGAGGAGGGAAGCATCAGCAAGACCCAGTCCCGTGTGCAAACTGGGTCCGGTTCTCCCCCACTCCCGGAGAGCACGTCACATTAATAAAAGCCCAGCATCAAACCCAACGCCTCCTCAAAGCCGGGGGAGGGCTGGGGGTGATTTAAAGGGAAGGAGCCCGCTCAGCATCAGGTGGTTCTTTGCCATCCAATGCCAGGGCGATGCCCAACATGGAGAGGTGGCACACAAGGGGAACCCCCACCCCAGCTCAGCTGGCAGCCCCCTGCCAGAGGGGTCTTCCCCGCCCTGGCATGTGCAGCACTTACGGTTTGCCCGAGGTCCCCGCCTGCATGCCGGCCGACAGCCCCGGGACACGCATGTGGCAGTGCGGGTCGTAGCCGACCTAGCCAAGCAGAGAAGAGAATTCCCTTCAGCCACCCGCAGGAGGAGGAGGCCGGCCGCCATCCCGCCACCCCGCCGGCGCACTCACCAGAGGGGAACGGCCGTAGCCGGCGGCTCCCACGGCCGCCGCTGCCCCGTTGAGCTGTGAGGACACCAGGTGCAGCCCTGCGTAGGCCCCAGCCCCGGCCATGTCGCCGTTGACGGAGGGGTGCGCCATGCCGAAGGCGGCCGGGTAGGAGCTCTGCATGGCCAGCGGGTTCCTCAGGCCCAGAGCTGCGAAAGGAGAAAGTCACAGGGATAGAGGAGCAGCAGCAGTCAGGACCCGGGGATGGGAGGGAGGAGCTCGGGGCCAAACCAAGCTATGGCGTGAACAGGCCCAACCGTATTGCGGTGCCTGGAGCGGCATCCGCTGGTCACACGCGGGGCTAGGCACGAGCATGGCCTTGCTCGGCGCCCGCTCTAGCCCAAGGGAGAGCGGAGCCACCAGCCAGGGGTTGCTCTGGCCACCTGCCGCAGAGAACGGTCCTGCCAGCTTCCGCCACCACCGTCTACAGGGGGCACAGAGAGCTGGCTCTCGCCGCCACACCTGTGCATCTCGACAGCGAGCGACTCCCGGGTCAGTCCTGCTTCCCGACGGCCGGATCTGCTGATGCCGCTGGCTTTGAAGCCCTGCCTTTGGCAGAGAGGCGGCATCCCGCCAGGGGTGCGCGTGAGGTCGTTCGCGGATCCTTCCGCTGGGCGTCAGGCCTGGGCTCACTCAAGCGCCCTCTGCGCCCGGCAGGGCAGGCACCGTGCGAGGAGCACGGACAGGGGAGCTGCCTTGCTGACCGTCGGACACCTGGCTCTGCCTTCGGCTGCTCCCCCCATTCAGCCCTCGTGCCAAGCGAGGCTTCAGCCCCGGCTCTAGGGCTGCCCCACGGCTTTGGGAGCGGATTGCTGGGTACCTGGAGCCAAGGTCTCATTCTCCCAGGACAAGGCCTCTTAGAGCCACCGGACTGGATGGAGGAGGAATCCCCATCACACCACTCCACCCTAGCTGGGGTGCCCTGTCCCAGCAGCCCGGCCAGGCTCCGGGTTAGCCAGGAACGGCCCATGGTGCCACCTCTTGAGACCCGGGACGCATCAGACTGGGGTCTAGTCCCCTGCCCCAGGGCAGGGCCCAGTCTCCTGGGTCACCACAACAGGCTGATTTGCATCCAAGTGCTGAGTGAACGCGTCTCGCTGCCCCCTGCCCCACGGTCACTGTAACCTCCGGCCCCATCCCCAGCCTCCCGCTACCTAACGAATCCACCGAGGGCTTTGCCGCCCCCGGGCGGAACTGCTGGGTGGCGCTGCTGCTACTGGAGCCTGGCACCGTGGCGTCTCCTTGGGAAGTCGGGGTGCTGGACTTCAAACCGGGAGTGGCGGCTTTCTCCACCTGCAAAGGAGAGAGTCGGACTCAAAACTCAGCCGCAGCAGCCTGGAAATCCCCCGCCCCCACGGGTGCCGCCTTCAGCCAGGGCTTTTCTGGACACCGCGGGCTCCAAACCCCTCCCGCCCACAGCTCCAAACCGGCAGCCATCCAAGCCTCTGATTTACTGCCTGCTTGGGAGCAGAGAGCCCAGCCTGGCTTCCTCCCCGGAGCCCGGGCCCCAAACACCACTGTGAAATCGGGATGCTCCCTTGGGCACGAGAAGGGGGAGACGGAGGGCTCTGTAGGGTGCTTGGAAGCTGGTAAGCGGCACTTGGCAGAGGCCAGCTACATCCATGCCCCCCACGCACAGGAGCCTGGGGCCGTGGGGAGAAGGACCCTGCGACAGGCCAGCAAACCCACCTCACCCAGGGCAGAGATCGCTGCCAGAGGCCGTCGCTAGGACGGTGGCTGCATGAGACGCCCAGGAAACACTGTCCTCCTCTCTCCCCCTGGAGCAGGCAGCCTGCATCTGCCCTTGCAATGCCCCGCGTGGCTGGTGGGGTGGACTCTTCTCCAGCAGAGCTCTCCTGGCGGGCTGCACACGGGGCTGGCGAGAGGCGGAACAGCTCCGCTCACGCCAGCAGGGGCACCAACCGCTCCGCTAGCCCGAGGCAGAGCGACCCAGCATGTTGCACCGAGGATGCGGGCAACTCCTCCGAGCCAAGCCCGGCGTTTGCTCCTGCTGGCAATCGGTGAGGCGGCCACGTGGGGCTCCTTTTACATGGTCACTTCCTGACCGTAATGCCCTGCCCTCTCCCGCCCCCCCGGAGAGAAGGGGCAGCCCGTTTCATAGCCCTGACGTCTGAGCAAAGCCGGACCAGCTGTGCCCAGGACACGTCTGCGTTGCAAGGGGGGCAGCCCGCGTGGGCATACTGGGGTTGCGCTAGCTCGCTAAACGGAGCGGGGGAGCTGCAGCAGGGTCCGTGCCTACGGGCCCGGGCAGGACTGTGCCACCGCGGCCACGCTGCTATCGCTAGCCCGCTCAGAGCTAGCCCGGATACACCGACGCGTGCTGCCCTCGCCCCTCGGAGGCCCCGATTCTGATCTCGCTCCCCCCCCATGGGAAGCGGAGGCCAGGACGAAACCCGCAGGGCGGCACCAATGTGAGATCAGACTCGGGCTCAGCCTGGCCCTCCCTTTTCGTGACGAGGGGAGCGTGCTTCCTCCCCACGCCCTACTGCTCCCTGGATAGCAGGAAACCAGTGAACCCCACCAAACCCAGCCCCCTCCACACACACGCACGCACCGTGGGCTGGTCCTTGCTCCGTGATGGGGAGGTGCTGCTGGATGAGGCCAAGGAGGTGGGACTGAGCGGTACAGCCTCCTTCCGCTGCAACGGGACCTTGTCCACCCCGTTCTCGCGGGAGGAGTACGAGTGGACGCTGTGCGGGGAGGAGGGGTCCTGTGGGACAGAGCGAGATCGACCGGCCTCAGGTGGGGGGCTCCGGCTGCTGACGGGTACAGGAGCCAGGCACCTCCCACTAAGCCAGCAGGGAACTCCATATAACAGCCAGAGGCAGGGTGAGCTAGCGGTTAGAGCAGGGCTGGGCCCCTGAACTCCTGGGTTCTGTTCCCAGCTCCGGGAAGGAGGGGGCCTCACAGGTTAGAGCACTAGTCCAGACTCCTGGGTGCTCGTCCCAGCTCTCCGGGTCTAGCGATTCGAGCAGGACTCCTGGGTTCCACTTCCCACCTCGGCTACACAGTACTGCGACCTTAACCTCTGAGGGCCAGTTTTGTCTTCAGTAACAGGGCCAGGCCCTGCCACAAGGAAAGTCTGGTGGGCTCTAGACCGAGCCTCAGCCCATCTAAACGCCGAACCGAGCCAAGGCATGTTCCCGAGCACTGACCTCATCCACCACCAGGTTGTCCTCACTCTTGTCCGCATCGCTGCCCTGAAACGCAGAGAGAGGCGCGTTCACACCCAGCAGCCGGCGCGGCCCCACCCGGCTGGAGACGGGAACCAACGGGTCACGGCACCGCTTAGGCGGCGTCCCATGGAGGCCTGCTCACGGCTCGGCACACACAAACCCAGCCTAGAAAAAGGAGCAGTAGAGGGGAGAGGCCCCCTACTACCTCCTGTGCCCCCCGTCCCGGGAACACACCCCCACACCAGCAGCTGCAAAGAACCACTCACATAGTCCGTGACGAAGTCCTTCTCCTCAGCCTTCCTCTTCTTGCTGTTGCTCAGGTACTCCGAGATGGCTCGCACCCGCTCCCCGTTGGGCAGCGCCAGGGAGCTCTGGGGAACGAGATGAGGAGCCGCTGTGTTATGAAGCTGAGACAGCCGGCCCAGGCTTAAGTCCCCCCCCACCCTCCCAGCAGGATGGACAGGGATAACGGCAGAGCCCCCTACCCTCCATCCCATGGTGCACAGGTGACGTTCCCATGAGGCCGCTGCCTTAGGACAGCTGGACTCTGCTCTGCCCACGGGACACCTAAGCCACTTACCCCTCCCCTGGCTGCATCTCTCAAGCAGCACGGGATGAACTGAAGCGCCGTTCGCCTCCCCCACTCAGCAATGGGGGCAGAGCGTAAAGCCGGAAGGGGGATCCGGCCAGGAGGCGAGCTCCTGACTCCGGGGCGTGCGCCGGCCCAGGGCGGCGGGAGCCTCTAGACCCAGCTGCCGGGCAGTCGACAGGCCCTCCCCCACCGGGACACGGCTCCTCCAGACCAAGCTTCGGTCCCAGCTCCAGTTCACAGCAGAAAGCGGGGTGGGGGCGGGGGCAGGGGCAGGGGCAAGAGACTGGGTCAGAAAGACACAGGAGTGAGCTGAGCTCCATGGCCCCCAGGGCTCCGTTGGCAGTTTGCGGCCACAGCCGCCCCCCC